GAACAAGATCCTCTTCAGCAATTCAGTACAACAGAGCAGAAGGTGGATTAGGTTCTGCACGGGGATTGATGAAAAAAGCAGTTCATGGTCCTACAGTGTTGATGGTTAAAAATAATAAAATATCTGTTCCTGCAAACTACAGTGCTAAATTTATGGGATTCAAAATGGTTGATGGAAAACAACATATAGTAATAAAATTGTTGCCTACAGATAAACAGAATTTGCCAGGAGGAAATAAGGTTGATGGGATTAAAGATGGTACAACTGAATGCCAACAAGAGATAGCTGACAACTGTAATTTACCTTCAGTTCCTGGATCTCATGAAATTAACAATCAAATGCCTAGGAATCATTCTGTTCACTCATTAACATCTCCACTGTCTAATCAGTTTTCAAAAAAAATAAAGCAAGAAGGTAAGAATATGTTATGCTGTAATACATCACAGAATATTGTACCTCCTATTGTAGTGGTAGGAAAGTGTGCAACCCATCTGCCAGTGAAACCTGAGACATCTTCAGTTCCTTGTGATTTGGTGGTCAAGGCTAGAAGTCCTGTTTCATGGAAAAATTGTATACCTCAAGACCACCCCCAGATTTTACCCTCTTCTGGTTCACGCATGCTTCATTATGATCCCATGAAAAAATCCTTTCCTCCAGAATTCAGAGTAGTGAACGGTGAAATAAACAGTAGTAAACACAGTAATCTCTATTGTCCATCGGCAGATTTTTCCAATCAGGCACCATTGCCATTCCATAATTATTCCAAAATAGGCATTTTGGAAAAATCAAAAGAACTTACTTCCAACAAAATTTATCCTCTGCAAAGCAAGCCAATAAATGAAACTTTGCCTTGTTTTTCACAATCTGTAACAGGATTAAATTTAGACAAAAAATCATCACTGCTGCCTCTTTATGGCTTTGTAAATGGTAATAATGCTCCAGTATTCTCAGCCAGCCCACCCAGTTACAGTATTGACAAACAGTGTTGGATAGAAAATCATCGTGATGGACAATTGTATTTGAATTCTAAGGTAAATCAAGTGTTGGAACATGTAGCTGAAAAGTCCAAACTAGAAAATGATTCTAATTGTGTAAATTCATCACTGATGCCTAAAATAACATCAGTCTTCTCACTTCACAGTAAGCAGGCATCCACCTATTTGTCACCCGAAGTAAACCAGTCATTACAAGATGTCTTAAAAGGACCAATCACTCAGTCAAACAACTACATTAAAACTAATTATGATCAGCCTTTTTCGAATAAATATACAAATTGTAAGACATTTACACATTTTACAGATTCATCAGCTTGGTGCAATTTAACTGATCCCTCTGATAAATTCAAGAGAGAGCTGAATATGAACAACACTGCAACAAATGAAAGTGTATACCTGAGGAATGAAGGACAAATCCCTGTGCCTCTTAGAATGGAAGCAATACATTCAGCTTCGAGGAAAACAGGCGTTGGTGCATTGCTTAAGACTCAGACAGATTCAATCATAACACAACAGTTGGCAAAAGACAAGGTGCGCTACAATATCCATGGCCCAAATAAAATATGTCCAACTTTTCCAGAACAGAAAAAAACAGTACTACAGTCAACTCCACCAAGATTTTTCGTACCTTTGCAGCTTGCACAGAAGCAAGGATTACAAGTTATTTCAGGAAAGCCGCCTCCGAAAGTGAGTTCATCAGATGTTCAGGCAACCAGAACTGCACCTACATCTTTACTTTTAAACAAAGGACCTGGAATGATTTTGACGTTTGGTAGAGGATCACTTGGAACAGCTGCAAATGCCACTGAAAATAATTCTCAGGTTTTAGAGAAATTCGCATCTAAGGAGGCAGTATCTTCAGAGATGAATCTGCAAACAAATGATGCTAGAAGTCTGAGAAATTCTAGTATTAATATGTGTAGTGGGGCAGGAAATGCTTCATCCATTGCCATTCCACAAAACGAACAACTTAGCATTACAAACTCAGAGAGCAGACTTTCTTCTGTGAAAATACTTGCTGGATTTCAAGGCAGCAAGGCTGCTTGTGTGGAGTCAGTAAAACAGCCAGAGGTTGGACAGGAACAACCTGTGTATGCACTTTTGCCCAATGGCAGACAAGCAGTTTTTCTTAAGTGTATGTCACCGAACAAGTCTCTTGTACAAAACCATAATATTTTTCAAGGTCCTACTCATAGTCAAAGTTCTGAACCAAAGAAACATGGAGCAATGCAACAAAAGCTTTTTTTGAAAATTAAGACTTTTCCTGCTGCAGACAAATGTCAACCAGTTAGCAATGTTGTCTCATCTTTACAATTGGACACTATGAAGTGTTGCAATAGTCCTGCACTAAATCAGAAAAATACAGCTCTTTCTTCTAGCAATGCCTTACTCTTACCAGGTAGCTTGATGCCAGCAAATGCCTGTTCAGCAAATGATAAATCAAAAGATTCTTGCTCCTCTGCAGAACTGGTACATTCCTCTAGAGATGGAAGAACATGGTCACAAAAGATCCCAACTGATTCAACACAAAAAGGAACTGCTAACAAAGGGAACAGTTTTGAAAATCAAACAGCAACAGAGAATATGACAACAAAAATTACAAAAGTTAAGCGCCATTCAAAGCAAAATGATGCTAAAGTTTCTAATGCTACAGTTTCACAGAAGAATAGGAATTTGAAACGGAAAACTAAGGATGACTTTCAGGGACCTCCTAGAAAGAAAACATTGCATCGAAAGTGTAAAGAAAAAAATCAAGTAGATGTAAATGAATTTGAATCCTTATTTCAAGCCCCTTATAGACCAAGAGTATCGAAAGATACTATAAGGATTCTAAATTTACTTCCTTTTAATTCTAAACAACTTGTCAAATGCCCCCGGAGAAATCAGCCTGTTGTAGTACTAAACCACCCTGATGCTGATGTTCCTGAAGTTGTAAATGTTATGAAGACTATTGCAAAATTTAAAGGACACGTTCTAAAAGTCTCTTTATCAAAGAGAACAATTGATGCTCTTCTGGAGCCAGCATATTATAGCAACAGTTTGTACTTAATTACTAATGAACTGACTCGAAGAAAACGCAAAATGCTAAAACCTGTAAGTCCTGTAAAAGAAAGATTTGTTTTGAAATTAACACTGAAGAAGACTAGCAAAAACAATTATCAGATTGTGAAAACTACCTCTGATAATACGCTGAAAACTAAATTTAGCTGCTGGTTTTGTGGGAGGATATTTGACAATCAGGACAATTGGGTAGGGCATGGACAACGCCATCTAATGGAAGCCACTCGAGATTGGAATTCATTAGAATAATTTATTGAAGAAGAAAAAAATGAAGTTCATCCGATTGCAAATTATTTTGACTGATAGCATCCAAGAACACATTAAAATTATGTTTTTTAAATCAAGTTTCATGGTAGCACCTAAAATGAACCTGTATGAATTTTAATTAAATAGTTGCTATTGCAGTTTAATTTGTGTTTTGTTACTCCTATCATGGCATATATTTGTATTTGGAGAATGAATTTCAGGGCTTTTCTGTTTGTACATATTTAAGTCTGTACATATTTTTGTACTTCAGTTATTTGCTATAAAATCTTGCACAGGAATTGTATTTTCCAGCTCTGTGCATGCACTACTAAAAGGGTTTTCAGCTATACACAGCTATTGCCGTATTTTTCCTTGATCTTTTAAAGAATTTTTTTTTCCAGGGATTGATCACTGTTGTTAGCAAGTGCCTAAAAGATGTGAAGCAGTTTACTTTGTGTCAACTGTATAACCATAGGTCTGTATAGGACCAGGTCTCCTAACAGTTTCTTTTAAACAAAGCCATATGTGAATGCTTTAAGCTATATTGCTATGCACATGACACTTGTACTATTTCTGTGCAGTTTGTCTACTTTCTTAGTGAAGTATTTTTCATACAAATCAATAAACTTGTTACTGTGTTTAAGCCTGATGATGATAACTGTTGAAAACATAATGTATTCCCTGTTTGTACAGCAAAGTGCTGAGAATTCCAAGTGAAAATTTGTCATCCCTACTTTGGTATTAAATTTTGTTAAGAATCTGATTCCATAAAATGTGTGTAAAAGGCAGTCTTATGATTGTGGTAATGGTCATACTAGAAAGCAGAATTTGACTTTCTCTATTGTTATATTTTTGAAAGATGTTACAGTTCCTTTTTAAAGGGACCCCACCGGTTGGGATATTTTAATTACAAACATTGATGTTTCATAAACTTCTGTTGGAACATTTTAATTCCATTGTAAAACCTTTTGCTTGAACATACTTTCTTACTTAGGCAAAAATATTTGTCTCAGGATGATTGTAGATTTTGTCAACTTTTTTTTCTTTGTACTGAAAATACAGTGTTTCAGAAATCATGTCAGATTTCTACTGAAGCTTTTACTTACGTGGGTACACAATCTACTGTACAAACTGGTTTTCTGAAGGCCTACAGGTGGTGAACCTTTTTTTTTTTTTGGTGGCCTATGGCATTACATAATTAAAACTTCTGGTCTGTTCAGATACTTCTACCTGGAAACATCTTTCTCTCACCAAGGAATAGCAGAAAAATATCTTTGCTGTTCTGCAGACCTGCCAAAAGAAGAGTTTTCAGCTTTGTATTATATACATACAGCTTTCAAGTAAGACTAATATACTGAGATCAGGTATGATGTAGACTGTTCCTCCTTTCTCAAGTAAAAATGATGGATAGGGGAATAGATATGTCTTAAATTTTTTACCAAGTTGAGATTTAAGTCAGTTCCAAACAGGTGCTGGGTGCTGTTAACTTGTATGTATGTTGATAGAAATAATATATTAACTCCCCTTAAGAAAGTGAGTAATTTGACTGATATCAAAGTGGTGTGTTTTGAAATGAATTTACAAATTCAGGATTACCTCTTAAGATTTTCCCTGCACATATTTCATGTTAATAAATTTGTTATATAGATATATTACTCTATAATTGTATTGAATAATTTAAAACCTTGAATAAAGCACAGGTATTTATTAATGTTAAGCAATTAGCTTGCTGATAAAAAATCTTGCTCTTTGATACTTGAGCTGACTTTCCAGATACCAAACAGGTTAAATATTCTTTTAAATAGCAACAATTATATCAAAATAATTAGAATAAAACACTTTCACGTGTGGACATTCCATTTATATTCTGTATTTACAAAAAAGAAAACTGCATAAATATACAGGGCTCACCTTGAATTTAGATTGAGTTTTTACTTGTTTACAAAACAGAAGCAAAACTTTCTAGGTGTGTTGCCAGGCATGTGAAAATGGACACGTGTAAGCTTCTAACATGTGGCTTAAGCACTTACATGGGGCCTAGCCTCTGGTACAGTACAGCTGCATGTTGTGCTACTTGAATATTTAAGCTGAGAGTAAATTTGCTACTAATTTTTTGTAATACTGCTCTTTTTAATCCTGCCATAGTTAATGTGGCACAGAATCAAATTTTATTTTATTCTAAAGTTTCTGGATAAAATAATAGATCCTTCAAAGTGTGGATGCAATTAAGTAGCATTCCTTTTTAAGATTATATTGTACTCAGCTGGAATAATGTCTAAAAACTTGCACTGAGGCTAAGAACCAAAACCCATTTCTTTACTAATTCTTAAGACAACAGAAATGAATGCTGGGATAAATACATGTTGCTAATCTAAGTATATTTGAGACTTTAGCTGCAAACTTGTGTCTAGCAAAAATCAGACATCTGAGTTAAGTGTGTGATACTGTTGAAATATATCAAACTAATTGGAGGGAGACCAGTCTTTGCCATCTTTAAAAACAAATCTAGGTTTATTTATCATTTTACTGTATACTAATTAAATCAGAAATCCAAATGCAGCATTTTGTAATGTATTGATTGGAAAGAAAAAAATTATTTGTAAAACATAATTAAAACTTAATGAAACTGGATCTAGAATTCCCATGAATGAATAGTAAAACTATGTATTGCTTATTTGGGAAGAAAAGGTAAATTCCTATCTTAACTTTAACATTCAGTATGCCCAGTACTATTACTTTAAGTATTTAAATATTTTTTAAAAATAGGTATTTGCCTGAAATACTAAACCATTTAGTCTTTTCATCAGTTGTACAACAACAACAAATTGTAGAATTTGGAATGAAGTAAGTAACCTCATTATTAAAAGTAATGGGAAGCCAAGCTATACCTAAGATTTTAAAGCTTAACTATCCAGTTTACATATACCAGGAGTTGGAATACAGTTTCCCATTCGTTGTGATTAAAGCTTCATTGCTATCTTCCTGGATGCAGGTCACAACTCTGCATTATGACTCCAGTGAAAGAGAATAATCCCTGTCCCCCAACAAACACTGAATACTTTCTTGGTACATTCATGTGGCCAAAGTATTTTACAATCCTGAAACGTTTTGCAGAAACATGTACTGTAACAGCTGAGAAGTAGTTAAGACAAGCATTTACTGTGCAAGAATTATAAACTCTTCTGGATCATAACTGCATCCTGATAAATTACACATAATTATTTTCATATGTACACTTAATCAAAATGTAACAATAGTTCCAACAAATACAGGTGAAGAAGTACCAGTCCATTACACTAAATCAGCATCCTGATTATTTTAGGCTGCTGTCCCAGGAATAAAAATCCTGCTTTTAGCTTGCTACTTAATGGCTCTTTGGGGTATAGACACCCTAGCTTTGAAAAATACAAATTTTAGCAGGAATTTTCTTAAGCAAGAACAAGTAAAATCTAGCAGGTATAGTTTTGAATATATCATGTCTGCCACTAAAGGATTTTTCTCTCCAGAGTTTATAATGTCTTTTATTAAAAAAAAGTTTTTCAAGTATACAACACTTTGGGTACTTTAATGACTGGAATAGCAGTTCATAAATGAATCCACTAGTTTGGTAACTATCAGCGTGGTTCTTGCTGAAAAACTTCTGAAGAAAATTCTTCTAACAATAGTTTTGCATGTTTGTTCAGGTGCTCTTGTCCTCAAATCCTTGGAAAATTAGGCCTAAAAGATATTCCATGATACTCCTTGATGCAGTTACGAAACTCTAGCAATATATCTTAGCTTGGTAGAGTCTTTCGTGTTGTTTTGACTGTCAATGAGAACGAGAGAAGTCCGCTGATGATTCTCTATTATTTCTGCGACGCTGTCAAAGTACTGGATTGAGAAAACAAAGATGGTTTATTCAACACAAATTCTGCTGAATCAGTCAACAACCATAATTTAAATGTTTTTTTCCACTCAGCTCTAAACAAAATAATTCTGTTTGAGAATTCAGCATTTATATGTTCTCATTTCAGTAATTTCTAGCATTTATGTATGTGAACTGTTTCCAGTGAAGAGTAAGATGTGTGTTAAATGCAAGTAATACTTCTCTCAAGGTTGGCCTCATTTTATTTTTAGACAAAGTTCTAATATTTTAAATGTGTTTATTCTGTTATTACAAAAATTGAATGTTAAACAGTTTAATGTCAGCATCCTAAAGTAACTTAATTACATCTCCTTGACATAACTGAGACCAAGCTCCAACAGATTCCAGTGGGATTTACTTCTAAATAACCAGACATGTAGGGTTTTCTCCCCTCTTGGGAAATAGCGGAACATGTAGGTGCAAAGGTAGTATAATCCATATAGGACAGTTTTCAGGTAACTCTGGCAGAAGATAATAAGGAAAGTAAGCACTTTGCTGTTCAACTGTTTTATGGTATTTTCTTTTTCTGCACATAGTACTAATCAAAAAACTCAAATATGCATATGCCTTAATTCTCCCACAGAATTCTCCATTCCATTGCAATCAGTAGAACCAAATTTAGCAATTACCAACGGAAATTTCATGGATTTCAGCAGGGGCACTTTAAGTGCAAGTAAATATGGATTAATCCAATGTAAATATTTCATTCCAAAATCAGGCCAAAATTTCTTAACAGTAATTGTAACTTTCAAAATCAGTGATCACCACTGAACAGAATGTGAATAATTACTATTACTTTACAGAACAGTAGATGAGTTTATGTAATATTAAAGGCAAGTTCTATACTGTTTTTATCCCTTTGCATAAAATCATTTCTCCAATGTAGTGTCCCAGGTGTGTTGACCCTTCAGTGCATTGTGGAGTTCTGGGAGCTATAGGTTCAATACATTTTGGAGGCCACCAGATTAGCAAAGGCTGGGGTAAACTTGAGAAGAAAATGGATTAATTACCACTTTCTTGCCCAAAGTAGAAAAAGACAACTATATTTTATAACAAAATATAAAAGGCCCTGTTGATAGAAATGTTTGTATCAGAACTGTGCAGCCATAATTTGAAATTTTAGGGTGCTTTTTAAAATTTTTGTATTAAATTAAATCATGATTTCCCCTAGAGAAGCTTTCTCCCCTTAGAATTGAACAACATCCCTTCATATAGGTAAAGTAGTCTGGTGCAGATTAAATTCTGCTCTCTTTAAAAATATCTACCACGAAGAGCTCCCAGTGAGAAATCTTTAATCAAAAACGGAGAGAGCTTCATTGTTAAAGAGGATGGTAAACTGCATTCACATTTTAATTAGGTCTCACTTGAGCTGAAATCTCTACCTGTAAAGAAGCTACTGTACATTTTTTATAAGCCTTTATAGATTACCACATCTCTAAGCAGTGTAACTAAATTTCCATGCATGTATTTAGAGTAAAAACCCAAAAGAAATCACCTACCTCCTCACCACTCTTTTCTCTACCCAGAGCGTATCGCCTTTTGGATTCAATAAATCGGATCGGAATGTTATATACTCTTTTGTTATAAAATACAACTAACGTATATGGTTGCTTTACATCTTGTCCAGAGCTCTTCCTTACTAAGAAAGACCCATCCTAAAAAAAGAGAAAAGTGAAGACTTCAAGGAGCAATTAGAGCAAATGCAGTTGGTTCAATTTTCTTAATCCTTTTTTCTTTCTGATATCTTAACTGATTAAAAAAACCTGAACTGGGCTGGAGTCTTTACAATCCCATGGCCTACTCTGTTTGAAGAAGTCTGGCCTGCTTCCACGGAAGATCCATACATCTTTTTGGATGTACATGGAGAATTATCTAGGAATATGAACTGCGTTAGTTCCAGGGGTTTTATTGTTACAAAGCTTATTTCTATCTGGGAGAGGAAACAATTCTTTACATTAGAGCTTTAAATTAAGAAAGGGTTTTCAGAGTCAGGCAGAGGTTCCCAAATTTTCTCAGTCAACATGACCTTAGTGTCTCACTAATTTTTTCATGGAACCCTCAGGCCAAAAGTAATACCTAATATTAAGTAGTTAGGTCCAAATTTAAAATATCCCACAGCGCCCCTGTGAATTTACTCTAGCATCCTGGGGTGCTACAGTGGACAGTTTGGGAACTGCAGGAGT